ATTAGAATAATTTTTATCGTATCCGAAATATTAAAAATGGAGGAGATGAACATTAGTTCATTTAAGTGAGTCATTAATTCATCAACGTGAGATAGTTCTTTTATTAGTAATTTCACACTATCATCATTTGGTGAAGAAAAATTATTATATCACTGCGTGTATTATTTTTCTCTCAATTAGTTTAAAGGAAAAAATTAATTAAAAAATAATATACAAAAAATAAAAAAAGAAAACGTGAGCAGAGAAAAGTATAATAATAAAACAAAATAGTGCAGAATGGAAAGATGAAGATAATAAAAAAAAGAAGAGGAATAGATCATTAAAAAGAAAGTAAGAATAAAATAAATAAACATTTAAAACAAAAACAGAAGAAACAAAAGATGAAAAGTTATAAAGAGCAAAAAATAAAGAAAAGGTAAAAAATAAAAAAGGGGAAAACAAAACTTAGCCAAAAAATTATTTAAATAAAAAAGAAGAAAAACATTTTTGTTAGATAAAAACAACAAATAAAAATAAAAGTAAGAAGAAGAAGAATGTAAAAAAAAAAGAAAGTAAAAACTACAAAAAAAATAATAACGTGCAAAAAATAAATAGAAGAAAATTAGAAAAAGAAATATTTTGTTAGACAAAAATCAAATAAAAATAAAATAAAAGTAAGAAGAAACAGAAACAAAAAAAAATAAAATGAATGAAAGTAAAAACTACAAAAAGTAACGTGCAAAAAAAAAATAGAAGAAAAATAAGAAAAAGAAAAATTTCAAGAAATTGGTTTCAACCTCTTTAACATTTTCTTTTTCTAAAATTAATCCTAAATCCCGTAGAAGTTTACCTTCTATTATAATTCAAATATCGACTCCCACTAAAACGACAATACTAAAATTCTCCGGACTCTAAAAAATCTAAACAAGATAGTTACAATAAATCAAAGAAGGTGGGACATAAGTAAATGTATAGCTGATAAGTATACTATATCCAAAAACTAAGTCAAGACAAGATATAAGTCAATGAAGCAACTGTGCTAGAAACACGGGACTCGAGGGGTGCCTTACACCTTCCCCTTGGTCAATAGAATTTCTTATCCATATTTCTAGTTCGCAGACCATTAAAAATTAGAGTCAACTTCTTTTTTATTAGGGGTAAAAATTAGGTGACTTGGAACACCAAAACTCGATTCCAAGTGGCGACTCTGAAATAAAAATAATCCCTTTTCAAAATGTCACTTTAATTGGAGAAACTCTATTTTTCAAACACTTCGTTTTGGGAAAAAATAGGGGTGTGACAGATGGCGACTCCCGCTGGGGATAACCAGAATTCGAGCTTCAAAATATTGACTTGTGTATGGCTTTGATCTTTATTTTTATTATTATTCTTTTTGGATATTGTGTTGTTAGTATAATGTGTTATTTGCTACTTGTTTATCGCTTTGATATTATGTGAATTGTTATATATTTGTCTCTCCTCGCGAACCCATCTGAGTCTTCTGAGATACTTTATTCGGAGATGCGATTACGCTCCCGAGCCATGAGATACCAGAGACGCGGCAACGCTCCTGGGAAGGATTCTATAGTAACACATGTCTTAAGATGGGAAGGACTAATAGTGAGGCCGGAAAGCCCTGCTACCGGTAAGCTATCCCTTCCCGACTCGAGTAGTCCACTCGTTTTACAACCAGTCTAGACACTCATTCCATTAGGTTGCTAACTTAGTAAAATAAGTCTCAGCGATGATTATTCCTAATAAGATTCGATTTATCTGCATCATGCATATTTGTAAACTAATAGGGCTCGACACAAGGGTCGAGTCCTTCTAGGACAGGTACCCCCACTTAAGACCATCATGTACATTTTTTTGTTCTACTTGTTGCACTATTAGGAAGGCTATACAAAATGTCGACCGGCTTTGAATGAATTAATTAAAAAAAAAAAAAGAAGGAAAATTCTAAAGATACAAAGGCCATAGTGTCCTTCTTTTATTAAACACTTTTACTTTGTCAAAATTTGTACTTCTTTCATAAATATAAGATTATTATTTTTTTTAGTTATTATTACTGTCATTTTTTATTTTTTTTAAGGGGGGTAAAGATAAATTAAGAAAAAATAAAATAAAACCAACTATACTATTTATTTTTTTTGTTAAAAGTCTAGCAGGATTATCTAATAAGAGGGGTTCAAACTACAACAAAAAGGTTTGAGTGCTTATTTTTCTTATGTGTTTTTTTTCACTCTTCTTATAATAATAATTATTTAGAAAAAAAAAAGAAATTTATATTTTTCTCCTTTCAACTTTACTCAGATTATTTAATAGGAAATTTTTTTTTATTTTTTATTTTAAAATAAAATAAAATGTGATGATTTGTTTTCCTTAGTATCCAATCATGTTTTTACTATTGTATACAATAATTTTTACTTTATTTTTAATTTTATAAAAAAATAAAAATGTGTTTTATTAAGTCCTAATTTGTCATTATCGTAATATAGGAAAATATGAATCCATATGGAAAGGGAGATAAGAGGCCAAGGGAGGATCAATCACCTCGCGTCATGATATTAGATAAGGCTCCGACACTTTTGAAGGCATGGTATGAAAATATGACGAATCATGGGAAAGGAGTGGTGTTCAAACGCTTGGGATTTCTGCGAAGCCTTTTGTATGTTGAGCCGCGACGGGATTTGATAGAAGCACTAGTTCATTTTTGGGATCCAATAAAAAATATATTCCACTTTTCTGACTTTGAACTCACTCCCACACTAGAGGAGATAGGCGCATTCATAGGAAGGGGTAAAAATCTTCACGAAGGAGAACCTATGATACCAAAACATATCAGTGGTAGGAGGTTTTTTGAGTTATTGCACATAAATGAGAATGAAACAGGTGGTTGCCTTGATAACGGATGGGTTCCATTAGAATTTTTGTACAAAAGATATGGGTGAAAGGATGGGTTCGAGTTATATGGAAAGAAACTTCGTAATAACGGGTGTCGTTTGACCTGGGAAGCACACAGTTATGACGCCTTCACAGTAGCTTTTTTGGGGATCATGGTGTTTCCGAAAAGGGGAGGAAAGATCAATATAAATTTGGCTGCAGTCATTACAGCTTTTGAGAAAAAGCCTAATATCACCCTCGTACCCATGATTCTAGCAGACATCTACCGCGCTTTGACAATTTGCAAGAATGGAGGAGATTACTTTGAGGGATGCAATATGTTACTACAACTATGGATGATTGAGCACATTCGTCATCACCCTTATGTAGTGGACTTCAAAGTAGAATGGAATGATTACATTGGGGGTCACGAGGGAAGAATCAAAGATCATAGTTTTCCGAAGGGTATTGAGGCTTGGAAGAAATACCTCAATAATCTGACTGCTGACAAGATTGTGTGGAATTATCATTGGTTTCCATCAGCCGAGGTGATATACATGTCTACATTTCGATCGTTCATCGTCCTAATGGGCCTTCGAGGTGTCCAACCTTACATGCCACTTAGAGTTATGCGACAACTTGGTCGACGCCAGTTTTTACCACCTAATGAAGATATGCGGGAATTCATGTATGAGTTTCATCCCGAGATTCCTTTAAGGAAATCAGAGATATTCAAGATTTGGGGGGGATGCATGCTCTCAAGTCCCCACGATAGGGTGGAGGATCGCACCAGGGGTGAGGTGGACCAAGCATACTTAGAATGGGTTCATGATCAACCCCCTCCTAAGGTATTGCCAGAAGGATCGGTGAAAGGACCTGTAGATCGAGAAGCAGAAATTGAGGTTAAGATTAAGCAAGCTCGCCTCGAAGTTGAAAGAAGCTATAGATCTACTCTGGATGTCCTGAGTAATGACTTGAAGAATGCTAAAGAGGAGTTGGCCCAACGTGATGCTATATTTGAAGTGAGAGTTAGAAAACATCGTTCTACCATTCTGACCTTACAAGAAGACTTGGGCATTGTCACAGGCGCTATGGAGCAACAAGAGGAGGAGTATAGAAAAGAAAAGGCCCAGCTTATCTGCACACAGTCTAAACTCCAGAATCAAGTTAAGGCTTCTATGGAACGGGAAAGGGAAATAGCAAGGCGTTTTAGTGTATATCAGGCAGAATGTGAAATTGAGAGAGGTCAAAGGATAGCCGAGTGAGATGCACTCCACCTTCAAATTGAAGAGCTCCAAGAACAGAGGGAGAATTTGACGCATGAAGTCAATACTACTCGACATTGGTTACAGAATTGTTATGACAATATGAATGAAGCCAGAGATCGAGTTCTTCAACTCAGGGATGCACTTAATGATGTTTATGCTGGTTATCTCCACCAGAATGATGAGAGGTTGGGCCGCCAGGCACGTGTTCTTGCTCCACATCTACCAAAGGCCTTGGCTAGGATTTATAAGGGTCTTGGGGATGATTGAGATCTGAGGATTTAGTTTCTTTCCGAGTCTATTTTCTTTTCTTAGTTATTAGTTGTTGCTTTTATTTATTTATATTTTCGTTAATCATTTTGAGTCTATCTTAGTCTTAGCTATTTCTATTCTCATGTTTTATTCAAATCATTGTGTTAAGAATATTTGAAAATGAATGAAAATGATTTACTTTTGGTCAACTCATGTACATTTATTATTTAAAAAAAAAAAAAATTATTATCTTTCACGAACTACGTAATGATCTGATTCATGTTAAACATGATACGTAGGCAACCCTCAACGGGTTCGATCGAAATGCGTTTCAAAATTATTCAAATAAGTAAAATATAAGACTAAGAGACATAATCAAGTCGTTTAAAGCCGGGATGAAACATGAAAGCCTTCCGAAACTCATTTTAGAAACATAAATAATTTAGGTGCATAACATACAACGTGTGATTATCGTTTGCAAAACACTAAACTCTAACATGTTTTTTTTTGTAAAAGAAAAGAGAAAAGAAAAAAAAAGAGAGAAAGAGTTTTAAGGTGGTTGGTTTGTGATTAGAGCTGGCATCTCATCAATACAACACCAGATCAAAAGGGAAAGGGAAGATGACGCGCAAGGAGGGAACAGAGTCGGGAAATGACGACGTCCAAATAGTTGCACAAGAATCGGTGTCTGTGGAAGAGGTAAAAATGTTGCGACAACAAATGGCCGAAATGTATGAAGCTTGGATGAATGGGCAAGCTCCTCCATCTTCGATTCGGGAATACCTGAATGCGAATATGCCATTCCCTATCCAAGTATCAACCAATGATCCAATTTATCCACCTGGATTCGGCCCCTACACTAACACATCGAACGTCGCTGAAACTTCTACAGTGCGTCCCTTGAATACTCCTATGATGAGTAACCCGCTATTTGTGCCAACTGCGCCGACTAATAGCACTTCAAATCCAACAGTGGTGCCCAAATCTAACAATGATCCTTCATTCCAAGTTCTTCATGACCATGGCTACACCCCTGAAGAGGCCCTTAAAATTCCAAGTTCTTATCCCCAGACTCATCAATATAGTTCCCCTTTCAAAATTGAGAAAACAATTAAGAATGAGGAGCATGAAGAAATGGCTAAGAAAATGAAGAGTTTGGAACAGAGTATAAGAGATATGCAAGGACTAGGGGGCCACAAAAGCATCTCATTCAGTGATTTGTGCATGTTTCCCCACGTCCATTTGCCTACTGGTTTTAAAACCCCGAAGTTTGAGAAATATGATGGTCACGGAGACCCCATAGCTCATTTGAAGAGATATTGCAATCAATTGAGAGGTGTCGAGGGCAAAGAAGAGTTGCTCATGGCCTATTTTGGGGAAAGCCTAGTGGGAATTGCGTCTGAATGGCTCATAGATCAGGATATAGCCAACTGGCATACGTGGGATGATTTGGCTCGATGTTTTGTGCAACAATTCCAATATAATATCGATATTGTGCCAGACCGCTCCTCACTTGCTAACATGAGGAAAAAGACCACAGAAAATTTTCGTGAATATGCCGTTAGATGGAGGGAGCAAGCTGCTAGGGTTAAACCACCAATGAAGGAGTCAGAGATGATTGACGTTTTTCTCCAAGCCCAAGAACCTGATTACTTTCATTACTTGCTTTCTGCCGTCGGGAAGACATTCGTCGAAGTTATCAAGGTTGGGGAAATGGTGGAAAATGGCATCAAGTCTGGGAAGATCGTAAGCCAAGCTGCTTTAAAAGCCACAACACAAGCACTTCAAAATGGTTCTGGAAATATTGGAGGGAAGAAAAGAAGGGAAGATGTAGCCACCGTTGTATCAGCACCTCGAACTTATGCCCAAGATAATCATACACAACATTACTTTCCTCCCCAAATTCCACAATATCCTGTCCCATATCCTCAATATCCCATTTTTAGCGCACAACCAATTGTTCCCCCTTCTTATCCGCAATGGCGTGCACCACTTCCTCAAAATCATCCATCACCCCCACAAATTCACCAAAATACAACTAGAATTCCTTTTCGTCCTAGAAAAGAATACAAGAAGGGAAATGGAGCTAAGGATGAGTTCACCCCTATTGGAGAATCATATGCTAGCTTGTTTCAAAAATTAAGAACGTTTGAATGTTTTGAGTCCTATTGAAAGAAAGATGTCGAATCCTCCTCCGAGAAATCTTGATTATTCCCAACACTGCGCATATTGTTCTGATGCCCCAGGGCACAACATAGAAAGATGCTGGTACTTGAAAAAGGCAATTCAAGATTTGATCGATACTCGTCGAATTATAGTTGAAAGCCCAAATGGACCGAACATCAATCAAAATCCACTGCCCAGACATACTGAAACAAACATGTTAGAGATGGTGAATGACCACGAAGAAGTTGCAGTCCCATACAAGCCAATCCTTAAGGTTGAAACTGGCATGGAAAGTTCAGCAAATGTCATTGACTTAACAAAAATGATGCCTTCAGGGGCGGAAAGTACGTCTGAAAAGTTGACCCCATCAAGCGCACCCATCCTAACTATAAAAGGAGCACTTGAAGATGTTTGGGCAAGTCAGAGAGAGGCAAGATTGGTTGTTCCAAGAGGGCCAGACAAGCCTATCTTGATCGTGCAAGGAGCCTATATTCCACCTGTGATCATTAGGCCAGTGTCCCAACTTCCAATGACTAATCCCAAGGCTGTCCCTTGGAATTATGAGCCTACCGTCGTGACATACGAGGGGAAAGAAATCAATGAAGAAGTAGATGAAATAGGAGGAATGACTCGTTCGGGAAGATGCTATGCCCCGACTGAATTAAGGAAAAATAAAAATGACCAAATGCAAGTTAAAAGTCCAGTCACTGAAGGGGAGGCAGATGAGTTCTTAAGAAAGATGAAATTGTCAGACTACTCCATTGTGGAACAGTTAAGGAAAACTCCAGCCCAAATCTCTTTGTTGTCATTGTTAATACATTCAGATGAACATCGTAAAGCTGTAATGAAGATTCTGAATGAAGCACACGTTCCTAATGAAGTTACAGTGAGTCAATTAGAGAAGATTGCTGGGAGAATCTTTGAGGTAAACCGCATCACCTTTTCAGATGATGAACTACCAGTGGAAGGTACGGGACATAACCAAGGCCTCCATATAACTGTAAAGTGTGAGCTTTCATATGTCACTCGAGTTCTAATTGACGGAGGGTCTGGGGCAAATATTTGTCCCTTGTCAACTCTACAAAAATTGAATGTTAATGTTGAAAGGGTACGACCCAACAACGTATGTGTTAGGGCTTTTGATGGGACCAAAAACAGATGCCATTGGGGAGATAGAGCTCATACTAAAAATAGGGCCTGTCGATTTCACCGTGAATTTTCAAGTGCTGAATATTAATGCATCCTACAATCTATTGTTGGGAAGACCATGGGTGCATAGGGCTGGGGCAGTCCCATCTACGTTGCATCAAATGGTTAAGTTTGAATACGATCGACAAGAAGTGATTGTTCATGGTGAGGGGGATCTGTCAGTCTACAAGGACTCTTCCCTCCCTTTTATCAAGGCAAATAATGAGAATGAGGCACTGGTTTATCAAGCTTTTGAGGTAGTGGTTTGTTGAGCATATCCTCGAGGGGAATCTCATTTCAAAACCACAACTGCCCATGGCATCCGTGATGATGGTAAATGAAATGCTGAAGCATGGGTTTTGAACCAGGTAAAGGCTTGGGGATCTTCTTGCAAGGGAGAGCTTATCCGGTGAGTCCACGAAAGAGTCTTGGTACTTTTGGCTTAGGATACAAGCCTAGAGCCGAGGACAAAATGAAAGCCAAAAAGCAGAAGAAAGATGTATGGTCACTTACCAAGCCTATACCACCCATATACAAATCTTTCAACAAAGCCCGTACAACAGAATCTTCTGAGTCACTACTCCCAGAGCCAGTGTTGGAGGTTCACGAAGAATTGATCAATTATTTTCAAGATTTCTTTGTTGAGGCTAATATGGTTGAACTCGGATAAGGCACTAGCGACAGAGATGTGCAATTCATTGGTCCTGATGTCCAGCTGAACAATTGGGAGGCCACTCCTCTCCCCACTAAGAATGAGTCTTGGTAGTTTGTCTTGTTTTTCTTTTTGTCATCCGATTTATTCAAGGGTTGTTTTCGGATTTTGTCTCGTCGTTTTATTTTCAAACTCTCTATTTTCCTTTTCAATAGGATGTAATTGTGTTTTTATTTCAGTCTAATATATTTATTTTGTTTTGTTCTATACAGTTCTTTCTATGCCGATTCTAGTGATATGACATGCATGCAGAATTTTTCATCGGATCTTAAATCCAATCTAATCTTCGACCTAATCCTGAAATAATAAGTCAAGAAATCGAATATGATGAAGACGAGGTATTTGAACAAGTAAGCAGGGATTTCAAATCTTTTGAGAATAAATCAAACCCAAATATGAGTGAAACTGAGACGATAAATTTAGGGGATCATGAAAATATTAAAGAGACTAAGATAAGCGTACATGCTCGACATCAAAAGGAGGATATAATCCAGGCTCTGTTTGATTACAAGGATGTTTTTGCGTCATCTTATGATGACATGCCTGGATTAAGCACTGATATGGTGGTTCACAAGTTGCCGATTGATCCTAAGTTCCCTCCAGTAAAGCAAAAGTTGAGAAAGCTTAAAACTGACATGAGTGTAATAATTAAAGAGGAAATCACAAAGCAACTTGAGGCCAAAGTCATTCGAGTCGCTCAATATCCTTCTTGGTTAGCCAACATCGTACCTGTCCCTAAGAAAGACGGCAAAGTTCGAATGTGTGTTGATTATCGTGATTTGAACAAAGCAAGTCCAAAAGATGACTTTCCTTTGCCAAACATCCATATTTTGTTGGACAATTGTGCTAAACATGAGATTGCATCTTTTTTGGATTGCTATGCGGGTTATCATCAGATTATTATGGATGATGAAGACGCAGAAAAAACGTCTTTTATCACACCATGGGGTACATATTGTTATCGAGTCATGCCATTTGGATTAAAAAATGCGGGTGCAACTTATATGTGGGCAATGACGACTATGTTTCATGATATGATGCATAAAGAAATCGAAGTTTATGTGGATGATGTGATCATTAAATCAAAAAAAGCAGTCAAATCATGTGCAAGACTTAAGAAGATTCTTCGAAAGGCTTCGCAGGTATAATCTCAAGCTTAATCCTGCAAAGTGTGTATTTGGAGTACCATCAGGAAAACTTTTGGGATTTATAGTCAGTCGACGAGGTATCGAGTTAGATCCTTCAAAAATAAAAGCCATTCAAGAACTGCCACCTCCAAAGAATAAAACTGAGGTTATGAGCCTTCTAGGAAGGTTAAACTACATCAGTAGATTCATTGCTCAACTCATAACAACTTGCGAGCCCATTTTTAAGTTGTTAAAGAAGAATGCCACAGTCGAATGGACCGAAGAATGTCGAGAGGCTTTTGAAAGGATTAAGAATTACTTATCGAATCCCCCTGTGTTGGTTCCTCCGGAGCCGGGCAGACCATTGATATTATATATGTCAGTACTAGATAATTCTTTTGGATGTGTATTGGGTCAGCATGATGGCACTGGGAAGAAAGAGCAGGCCATTTATTACCTCAGCAAGAAATTTACTGTTTATGAGTCGAAGTACACCCTTCTCGAAAGAACGTGTTGTGCCCTAACTTGGGTAGCACAGAAGTTGAAGCACTATCTTTCATCTTATACTACTTATCTCATTTCTCGTATGGATCCGTTAAAATACATTTTTCAAAAGCCCATGCCCACGGGCAGGCTTGCGAAATGGCAAATATTACTCACAGAGTTTGACATTATTTATGTGACGCGGACCGCAATGAAGGCTCAAGCCTTGGCAGATCATTTGGCAGAGAACCCTATTGATGATGAATATGAACCACTTAAGACCTACTTTCCAGACGAAGAGGTATCATGTATCGATGAAGTTATTCATAATAAGGGTCAAGGTTGGAAGTTGTTCTTTGACGGTGCTGCTAACAAGAAGGGAGTTGGGATAGGAGCAGTTCTTATGTCTGAATCAGGGGAATATTTCCCTATAACAGCCCAACTTAGATTCTATTGTACCAATAATATGTCAGAGTATGAGGCTTGCATCTTGGGTTTGAGGTTATCTGCTGACATGGGCATCCAAGAGTTGCTAGTGCTAGGAGACTCAGACTTACTGGTCCATCAAATTCAAGGAGAATGGGAGACTCGTGACCCAAAGCTCATACCATATCAACATTGTTTACAAGATCTTTGTCGACGGTTTGTGTCAATAAAGTTTAGACACATTCCTAGAGTTCATAATGAGATTGCTGATGCATTGGCAACTTTATCTTCGATGCTCCAACATCCTGACGAAGCTTATATTGACCCTTTGTACATACAATTCGTGATCAGCATGCTTATTGCAACGTGGTGGAGGAAGAATTTGACGGTAAACCTTGGTTCCATGATATTAAAACATATCTTCAGTCCAGAGAATGGTCCTACTAATGCCACTAATAATCAAAAAGGACTATTCGGCGACTAGCTAGCGGTTTTTTCTTAAGCGGAGGCATATTGTACAAGAAAACACCTGATTTGGGTCTTCTAAGATGTGTAAATGCTAAAGAGGCTTCAACAATTATGATTGAAGTACACTCAGGAGTTTGTGGACCTCACATGAATGGATTTGTTCTGGCAAAGAAGATACTTCGAGCAGGTTATTATTGGCTCACCATGGAGCGGGATTCTATACGGTTTGTTCGTAAGTGTCATGAATGTCAAATACACGGTGATTTGATACATTCTCCTCCCTCCGAGTTGCACGCGATGTCTGCTCCATGGCCTTTCGTGGCATGGGGAATGGATGTGATTGGACCAATAGAACCAAAAGCATCGAATGGTCATAGATTTATCCTGGTGGCCATTGATTACTTTACAAAGTGGGTGGAAGCAGTAACTTTCAAGTCAGTAACCAAGAAGGTTGTGGTGGATTTCATTCATTTCAACATCATCTGTCGATTTGGTATTCCAAAGGCAATTGTTACCGATAATGCTGCAAATCTCAACAGTCACTTAATGCAAGAGGTATGCCGTCAATTTAAGATTGAACATCGAAAATTCGACTCCTTATC